GCAAAGTACTGAGCCATATCAGTTAAAAGAATGTCAGACTCTACAAGGTAGGGGTAGCGTATGTGTGGCACATTCATTCGCACAGACCCATGAAGCTTTACCTAGCAGAGGGATCTCGGCATCCTTCACCGGCTTGGCTTCCTCATAGATCTGTTCCTGAGCAGCATCTGGCGACTTCCCTTCCGCCTCCAAGGAAGCAACACACACACACTGCGATGGTCCCTGAGAAACAGGAAGGGAGATTTCGGAAAGAGAGAGAAGAAAAAGGAATGTTTTCAGGCTAGTGAAATGGTTCTCAACCTGTGGGTCCCCAGGTGTTTTGGCCTACAACTCCCAGAAATCAAAACTGGTTTACCAGCTGTTTACCAGGCCAAAACATCTGGGGACCCACAGGTTGAGAACCACTGGGCTAGTGTGTTTGTTTAAGATTAAGTGTTGTTAGACATATGTAAAAAAAATACCATCAAGTTGAAAGAGACCACAAGGGTCATCTAGTCCACTGCTTCTTATGCAGTGCATATATCATGCAAGAAAATACAACCAAAGCACTCCCAACAGATGGCCACCCAACCTCTGCTTCATTAGCCCATGGAGCCTCACCTGCCACTTGGCTGAACTGGCCTCTTGCTGCCTCTTGAGGAGGAAGTCCTCTGCCAGGGCCACAGCCTGGGAACAGGTCTCCGGCCCTGCGCCTCGGAGCCATCCTTGCAGGTCTTGGGGAAGACTGGCCAGGAATTGCTCCAGGACCAGCAGCTCCAGGATCTGCTCCTTGCTGCGTCTCTCCGGCTTCAGCCACCGACTGCAAAGCTCCTGGACTTGGCTGTAAACCCTTCGCGGATCCTCCACCTCTTGGCAGCAGAACTGCCGAAAATGCTGGCGCTGCAGCTCCGCTCTCAGGGTCTCCGCTCGCAAGATGGCCACCTTCACTTTCCCATAATCCTCCCTGTCTCCGGCTTCCAGGCTCTGAAAGGCCTGCTCTGCTTCTCCACTCAATGCAGGCAATAGTCGGGCCGCCCACTCTTCCTTTGGCCACCGACAGGCTTTGGCCACTTGCTCGAAGGAGGCCAGGAAGGCCTTGGCCTCGTCCCATGGCATTTCCTCTGCCGGCGGAAGGCTTCCCCATGCCAAGGAAGGTGACTGGACGGACTTCAGGAACTCCTGCCATTGGGCTTCCCAGTGCTGCTGCATCCTTTGACCTGGAAAGTCCTTGCCTTCTTCCGGCGCTTTCCACGTTGGCCCTTTGGTCACATATTGGGACGGAACTCTACTTCCAGCTTTCCCTCCTTCTCTTGGAGTTCCTTGTTCCAGCTGCAGACTTGCAGGATTCGGCTCCTCCATCCCCTTCCTCTCTTCAATCCCAACTTTGGTTCACGGATGAAAAGAGTCACTAGTGTTGCTTCCAGGCAAATACCTTGAACATAAGAGTCAACCGACCTTGCTTTGAATGTGCAGGAGCAAAGGGCTGCTGTTCTTCCTTTGTCCAATGGAACAACTCAATAAAGGCAATCCCAGCAGCATGGAGACATATCCCTGACCTGAATAGGGAGTTTCTTCCTGAATTAGAAAGAATGAAATGCAGAGGGGGAAACAGAATAAAAATTCAGTTTGGAAGGAATCTATCTATCCATCCATCTATCTATCTCTAAATACTCTGTTCATTTTGAGTGATATTATAACTCAAAATCCGCTAGACAAATTGCTGCCAAATTTGGCCACAAGACACCTACTAACTCAAGAAGTGACTATCATTCAAAAAATGATTTTGTCATTTGGAAGTTATAGTTACTTGGATTTATAGTTCACTGTTCACTTACAATCAAAGAGCATTCAGAATGCCACCAACAATGGAATTGAACCATACTTAGCACACAGAACTCCCATGACCAACAGAAAATACTGGAAGGGTTTGGTGGGCATTGACCTTGAGTTTGGGAGTTGTAGTTCACCTACATCCAGAGATCACTGTGGACTCAAACGAAGAAGGATATGGACCAAACTTGGCACAAATACTCCATATGCCCAAATATGAACACAGATGAAGTTTGGGGGAAATAGATCTTGACATTCGGGATTTATCATTCACCTACAATCAAATAGCATTCTAAGCCCCACCAATGATAGAATTGAGCCAAACGTCCCACACAGAACCCCCATGAAAAACAGAAAATTGTGGTCTTTGGTGACCCTTCTAACACCTCATGACACACACCCCACAGGGGTCTCAACCCCCAGATTGAGAAATGCTGCCTTAAGGTCATACAGTCCAACTCCCTTCACCAGGGCACGAAAACATAATCAAAGCCCACATGTATATAAACCCATTTTTTCTAGTTTCCAACAAGTCTCACAACCTCTGAGGATGCTTGCCACAGATGCAGGCGAAACATCAGAAGAGGATGCTTCTAGAACATGGCCATACTGCCCAAAAAACATACAACAACCCAGTGATTCCAGCTATGAAACCCTTCCACAATACATTCAACGCTTTCTCATTGCTTTATTTTCCAGATCACCAGACTGGGCCACAGCAATGCATGGCAGGGGATTAATTTACAAAGAGTGACGTAAAACACAGCAAATGTTATTGTTAGAATATAATGAAAAGGGGCATAGAATTGAAACCTTTTTGTACAAATCTATGTAAAAAAAGATATAAATCTACACAATATATTGTCGAAGGCTTTCATGGCTGGAATCACTAGGTTCTTGTAGGTTTTTTCGGGCTATAGGGCCATGTTCTAGAGGCATTTCTCCTGACGTTTCGCCTGCATCTATGGCAAGCATCCTCAGAGGTAGTGAGGTCTGTTGGAATTAGGAAAATGGGTTTATATATCTGTGGAATGACTGGGGTGGGGCAAAGAGCTCTTCTCTGCTGAAGCTAGGTGTGAATGTTTCAGCTGACCACTTCATTAGCATTTGAAGGCCTGGCTGAGCCTGGGAAAATGTTCTGTTGAGAGGTGTTAAGATGTGCCTGGTTGTTTCCTCTCTGCTGTTTTGCTGTAGTAATTTTAGAGAGGAAACAACCAGGCACATTTTAACACCTCTCAACAGAACATTTTCCCAGGCTCAGCCAGGCCTTCAAATGCTAATGAAGGTGGTCAGCTGAAACATTCACACCTAGCTTCAGCAGAGAAGAGTTCTTTGCCCCACCCCAGTCATTCCACAGATATATAAACCCATTTTCCTAATTCCAACAGACCTCACTACCTCTGAGGTTGCTTGCCATAGATGCAGGCGAAACGTCAGGAGAAAATGCCTCTAGAACATGGCCCTATGGCCCGAAAAAAACCTACAAGAACCTAATCTACACAATAGCTTCCTCTAAAGCAGTGGCTATCCAGATGTTTTGGCCTTCAACTCCCAGAAATCCTAACAGTTGGTAAACTAGCTGGGATTTCTAGGAGTTGTAGGCCCAAACACCTGGGGAACCACAGGTTGAGAGCCACTGCCCCACAATACTCAAGAGAAAGCCAGGAAAAGGCCATTTCCCCCTCTCCCAACAAGGCTGTTTTGGCCCCACCTGCAAAGCCGTGGCTCCAGGCGTGGGGCCTTGGGAGTTCTAGTTTCCCAAGGCCTTGGGCCTCCCCTGCCGAAGAGGGCCAGCTGCAACCCCAAAGGCCTCCCTCTCCTGCCTCCGCCTCGCCCAGAAGGAAGGAAGGAAGCCTCCCACCGCCCAGCTGAGAAACAAGAAGGAAGGAACTCTGCCAGAAGGAAAGGCAAGGCAGGAAGGAGGAGGAAGTTGGCCAGGGCGTTGCTGCCCCCTGGTGGCCGCCTGGGGCATTGCAGCCCCCTCTCTTCCAGAGGGGAGGGGTCCTGGCCACAACACACCTGAGCCTCTCCCTCATCCTGTCCCCCCACTCATCCCCCCAGTGACATACAATGCTTATTCCAAAAGTGAAGCCCTGTCGATTCACATGGAGGAGTCCCAAAAGGCCATTGTCTTGGTCCAAACAAGCTCCCAAAGTGCAAAGTGTACCAGGGGCCTGGGTCCTCATTGGCTGCTGTCTCTGGCTGGCTGCTGAGACCAACGGTTCCAACTGCCACTCTGCCAGTGGTTCTCACTTTGGACATTGAAGATATTGCTGGCTGCCAACTGTCTTAAGGACTGAACGTTTTAAGGCATGAGGCATATTTCAAAAACTATTTTAAAAGGCTATTTTATTGCTCTGTTCCCTATTTTATTTTTATTTATCATGTCATCCGCAACCAGAACATTGTATTACATTTCTAACAGAACAAAACAGACAAACAGATTTTAAAAAACACAAATTTGCAAACTTGGTAGCTGATTAAATGTCCTTTGACCAGTATCTGGCCACTTGGAGTGCCTCTGGTGTTGCCGCAAGGAGGTCCTCCATTGTGCATGTGGCAGGGCTCAGGTTGCATTGCAGCAGGTGCTCAGTGGTTTGCTCTCCACACTTGCATGTCGTGGATTCCACTTTGTAGCCACATTTCTTAAGATTGGCTCTGCATCTCGTGGTGCCAGAGCGCAGTCTGTTCAGCACCTTCCAAGTCGCCCAGTCTTCTGTGTGCCCAGGGGGGAGTCTCTCATCTGGTATCACCCACAGATTGAGGTGCTGGGTTTGAGCCTGCCACTTTTGGACTCTCGCTTGCTGAGGTGTTCCAGCGAGTGTCTCTGTAGATCTAGAAAACTATTTCTAGATTTAAGTCGTTGACGTGCTGGCTGATACCCAAACAAGGGATGAGCTGGAGATGTCTCTGCCTTGGTCCTTTCGCTATTGGCTGCTATTTCCCGGCGGATGTCAGGTGGTGCAATACCGGCTAAGCAGTGTAATTTCTCCAGTGGTGTAGGGCGCAGACACCCTGTGATAATGCGGCATGTCTCATTTAGAGCCACATCCACTGTTTTAGTGTGGTGAGACTGATGTATAATATGATATGATAATTATATATTTATATTACATGTAATATTACAAATAATATTACAATATAATTTGTATAGTATAATATAGCAATATTTAAAACTGATATTGTACTATGCAAATAATATAATATATTGTATGTATATATACCTTGTAAGCCGCTCTGAGTCCCCTTCGGGGTGAGAAGGGCGGCATATAAATGTCATAAATAAATAAATAAATAAATGTATACATTGTTACCCTGTTTGAACCTTTGAACCAAAGTAAAGATACTGTTATTTGTTTTACAAGCCTGTTGTTTATTCGTTCAGTTGCTTCCTGTCCTGAGTTGCCCTCCAAAAACAGCCTTTAGACCAGGGGTCCTCATACTTTTTAAACAGAGGGCCAGGTCACAGTCCCTTAAACTGTTGGAGGGCCGGATTATAATTTGAAAAAAAATGAATGAATTCCCATGCACGCTGCACACTTATTTGTAGTGCAAAATACACTTTAAAACAATACAATAGTTAAAATGAATTTTAACAAATATAAACTTATTAATATTTCAATGGGAAGTGTGGGCCTGCTTTTGGCTGATGAGATAGGATTGTTGTTGTGTGCTTTCAAGTCGTTTCAGACAGGTTGACCTTGAGCGAGGGCCAGGTAAATGACCTTGGATTCAGCCCCCGGGCCTTAGTTTGAGGACCCCTGCTTTAGACAATGTTGAAAATAAAAGAAAAATGCTTTACTTCAGCAGACACAAAGGATAAGCAAATGCAATTGAAAAGTGCAAAAGAAAACAAGGAAGTCTTAATCCAGACACAAATTAAAGTCTCTTACAAAGTCCCACAAGAAACACCAGTCTTCCATCAGACAGTGGGCAATGAACTAAATCCTTAGCAGCAGACACAAAGCAGATTCCATTGGAGTGAAAACATCAGGATCAGGGTTGTTGTTACCAACGCAAGCTGACTGCTCCTGCCGCTGATTTATAGCCCTGAATTCCCCACGTAGGAGGTGCTAGGGCATCTCCCAATTAGCTCAGCGTTTTTAGCAGTTATCCTAGCTGAATGCCATCTGTGCTTTGTCTCTTTTCGTCTCTCTAGAAATGTGGGCACTTTCAAACTATCATCATCTGATTCTTCTTCTCCCTCCAATTCCTGAGCACTTCCCTGCTTCCTTCCTCTTCCGAAGATGAGGAATCCCTAACACTTCCGACTCTTCGTAGCCTCATGGACCAGCCCATGCCAGAGCTGCCTGTTGGCCGTCACCACCCCCAGTTCCTTCAGAGTCAAGCCAATCACGTCAAGAATACCATCCCTCCATCGTGCCCTTGGTGGGCCCCTCTTCCTTTTTCCTTCTATTTTCCCCAGCATTATTGTCTTCTTATTATGTGGCCAAAGTACTTCATCTTTGCCTCTAATATCCTTCCCTCCAATGAGCAGTCGGGCTTTATTTCCTGAAGTATGGACTGGCTAGATCTTCTGGCGGTCCAAGGCACTCTCAGAATTTTCCTCCAGCACCACAGTTCAAAAGCATCTCTATTCCTTCGTTCAGCCTTCCTTATGGTCAGCTTTCACATCCATAGGTGACTACGGGGATACTATTGCTTTAACTATGCGGATCTTTTTTGCCAGTGTGATGTCTCTACTCTTCACTATTTTATCGAGATTGGTCATTGCTCTCCTCCCAAGAAGTAAACGTCTTCTGATTTCCTGGCTGCAGTCTGTGTCTGCAGTAATCTTTGCACCTAGAAATACAAAGTCTGTCACTGCCTCCATGTTTTCTCCCTCTATTTGCCAGTTATCAATCAGTCCGGTTGCCATAATCTTGGTTTTTTTGATGTTTAAGTGCAACTCAGCTTTTGCGCTTTCTTTTTTCACCTTGATTAGAAGGCTCCTCAGCTCCTCCTCGTTTTCGGCCATCAAAGTGGTATCATCTGCATATCTAAGGTTGTTAAGGTTTCATTTCAGTGCTGGTGGTCTTTGCTTCTTCCAGCACGCTGACATTTTTTCCGCTTGTCTTCCCATGAGATTTGCAGGATTTTTAGGAGGCAGTGCTGATGGAATTGTTCCAGAAGTTGCATGTGACGTTTGTAGACAGTCCACGTCTTGCAGGCATATAGTAGAGTTGGGAGCACAATTGTTTTATAAACAAGCCCCTTGGTATCCCTACGGATGTCCCGGTCCTCAAACACTCTCGCAGAGCTCAGGCGGTGTTGTATTTCAGTGTCAATGTTGACACTGAAATACAATGTTCAGTGTCAATGCTCTCTACGTGGGGTTGCCTCTGAAGACTGCCCGGAAGCTGCAGCTAGTCCAACGCTCGGCAGCCAGACTACTAACGCGTGCTGGGTACAGGGAGCACACCACTCCGCTGTTACACCAGCTCCACTGGCTGCCAATTAGCTTCCGAGCACAATTCAAAGTGCTGGTGTTAACCTATAAAGCCCTAAACGACCCCGGCCCTGTTTACCTCTCCGAACGTATTCTCCCCTATGAACCATCAAGATTATTAAGATCGTCTAGAGAGGCTCTGCTCTCGGTCCCACCGGCCTCGCAAGCATGTCTGGTGGGGACGAGGGACAGGGCCTTCTCGGTGGTGGCCCCTCGACTCTGGAACTCTCTCCCACTGGGGATCAGAACCGCCCCTTCTATCCTGACATTCAGGAAACAGCTGAAGACGTGGTTATGGAGACAGGCATTCGACGAGTGAGCCAGATATGGATGGAGGATGAAGAACAACGAGTTTAGTGTGACGACTGACCATTGTAGTTCTTGAATGTAATTGCTGTTTTAATGTTTTATTGTAAAATGAATTATTATGTTTTTATTAACTGTATGTGATATTATGGTTGGAAACCGGTCTGAGTCCCTCAAGAGAAGTGAGAAGGTCGGTATATAAAACTTTTAAATAAATAAATTTTGTGGAGAGCTGGCTGCCAAGGTAGCGGAAGATAGCTAGATAGCTAAATAGCTAGATAGCTAGATAGCTAGATAGATAGATAGTGCGCCAGCTGCGCCCGTATCTTGGGAAGTCTGACTTGGCCACGGTAGTCCACGCTCTGGTTACATCCCGTTTAGACTACTGCAACGCTCTCTACGTGGGGTTGCCTTTGAAGACAGCTCGGAAGCTCCAACTAGTCCAACGATCGGCAGCCATGATTTTAACAGGAGCGGAGCGCAGGGAGCATACAACCCCCCTGTTGCGCCAACTCCACTGGCTACCGATCTGCTACCGGCTGAATTCAAAGTGCTGGCGTTGGCCTTTAAAGCCCTAAACGTTTCCGGCCCAAGCTACCTATCTGACCGCATCTCTGCCTATGAACCCACCAGGACTTTGAGATCTTCCGGGGAGACCCTGCTCTCGATCCCGCCTGCTTCTCAAGCTCGGCTGGCGGGGACGAGAGATAGGGCCTTCTCGGTGGTGGCTCCTCGGCTGTGGAACGCCCTTCCTACGGACATTAGACTAGCACCATCTCTAATGGTATTCCGCAAAAAAGTGAAGACCTGGCTGTTTGAGCAGGCGTTCCAATAATTAGTGCAATGATTGGTTAATGAACACTGGAATGGAACAATGGATGACGAATCTGGAACATGTTTTTGATGACGAGACGACAGTGAATGGGTATTGTAGTAACTGTTTATTAATTGTGTAATGTGTTAGGTTGTTAACTGTTTCTATACTGTAGCACTGAATTTTTGCTGTTCGTATTTGTTGTGAACCGCTGTGAGTCGCCTTCGGGCTGAGAACAGCGGTATATAAATAGATACTAGATAGATAGATAGATAGATAGATAGATAGATAGATAGATAGATAGATAGATAAGATAGATAGATAGATAGATAGATAGATAGATAGATAGATAGATAGATAGATAGATAGATAGATAGATAGATAGATAGAAGCCTGAGACAGGAGAACAGTTCCGCGCGCCGCCCAGTAGGTGGCGCTGTTGGGAAGCCTCTCCGCTGTCCTTTGCAGCTCCGCCGCCATTAAGCGCCTTCCAGTGGAAAAGGGGAGCAAAAGCGAATTGGGGGGCATGCCCTGTGCAAAAGGATACTGGGGTGACACCGGTTTCTACTAGCCCTACGAAAGGGACCTCTTCTGGGCAGCCGGGGCCGCTTTTTCCTGGGGCTGGAGAGCCGGCCAGGTAGGTTTTGCTGGAGGAAAGGAAAAGGGGTAAATGTCTGCGTGGCTCTTTTGTATGAACCCCCTTCCTCCCTCCCTCCCTTTAACATTTCATACTGTCTGTTTTCTCTCCTTCTCTGGAAGGGAGGGATTCAGATCCAGGGATAAAGCTGGATTATCATGGCCTTTTTTCATTATTGATCCCATTAATGATGAAAAAAAGGGGGCATTTTTCTTTTGCAGCCACCTGGCGTTGAAAGGTAAGGTTATAAAACCCCAGGAGGAGAAGAGATACAGGTTGAGCATCCCTTGTCTGTGCTGGAAAGCAGAAGTATTTTGAATTTTTGGACATTTCGTACATGCATCATAGAGATCTATTGGAGATTGTTATTATATATCACTTTATAGAGACTCAACAATATTAAAAACTATACAATATAAAAGCCAAAGACTGTAAACAAAGAGAACTATCTCAAGTAAATAATTGATACAGGTTGAACATTCCTTATCTGTCCTGGAAAGCAGAAGTATTTTGAATTTTTGGACATTTCGTACATGCATTATGGAGATCTATTGGAGATTATTATTATATGTCGCTTTATAGAGACTCAACAGTATTAAAAACTATCCAGTATAAAAGCCAAAGACAATAAACAAAGAGAATTAAACCCAGAACTATCTCAAGTAAGTAATTGATACAGGTTGAGTATCGCTTATCTGTGCTGGAAAGTAGAAGTATTTTGAATTTTTGGACATTTCGTACATGCATTATGGAGATCTATTTGAGATTATTATTATATGCCACTTTATAGAGACTCAGTAGTATTAAAAACCATACAGTAAAAAAGTCAAAGATTATAAACAAAGAGAAGTAAACCCAGAACCATCTCAAGTAAATAATTGATACAGGTTGAGCATCGCTTATCTGTGCTGGAAAGCAGAAGTATTTTGAATTTTTGGACATTTCATACATGCATCATGGAGATCTTTTGGATATTATTATTATATGTCACTTTATAGAGACTCAGTAGTATTAAAACTATACAATATAAAAGCCAAAGACTGTAAACAAAGAGAACTATCTCAAGTAAGTAATTGATACAGGTTGAGCATCCCTTGTCTGTGCTGGAAAGCAGAAATATTTTGAATTTTTGGACATTTCGTACATGCATCATAGAGATCTATTGGAGATTCTTATTATATGTCACTTTATAGAGACTCAACAGTATTAAAAACTATACAATATAAAAGCCAAAGACTGTAAACAAAGAGAATTAAACCCAGAATTATCTCAAGTAAGTAATTGATACAGGTTGAGCATCCCTTATTTGTGCTGGAAAGCAGAAATATTTTGAATTCTTGGACATTTTGTACATACATCATAGAGATCTATTGGAGATTGTTATTATATGTCACTTTATAGAGACTCAACAGTATTAAAAACTATACAATATAAAAGCCGAAGACAATAAACAAAGATAATTAAACCCAGAACTATCTCAAGTAAGTAATTGATACAGGTTGAGTATCCCTTATCTGTGCTAGAAAGTAGAAGTATTTTGAATTTTTGGACTTCATACATGCATCATAGAGATCTATTGGAGATTATTATTATATGCCGCTTTATAGAGTCTCAACAGTATTAAAAACTATACAGTAAACAAAGTCAAAGATTATAAACAAATAGAATTAAACCCAGAACCATCTCAAGTAAATAATTGATACAGGTTGAGCATCACTTATCTGTGCTGGAAAGCAGAAGTATTTTGAATTTTTGGACATTTCGTACATGTATTATGGAGATCTATTTGAGATTATTATTATATGTCGCTTTATAGAGACTCAACAGTTTTAAAAACTATACAATATAAAAGTCAAAGACAATACACAAAGAGAATTAAACCCAGAACTATTTCAAGTAAATAATTGGTAGCAAAGCCTAAGAACAAAATTCATTTATACCCATAAATGAATTTTGTTCTTAGGCTTTGCTACCAATTATTTACACACATTTTGGAGGCAATTTTATACATAATAGGTTGCTATGAGTTTTTCGGGCTTTCTGGCCATGATCCAGAAGCATTCTTTCCTGACGTTTTGCCCACATCTATGGCAGGCATCCTCAGAGGTTGTGGGGTGTATTGGAAACTAGGCAGGTTAGGTTTATATACCTCTGGAATAATGTACAGGGTGGGAGAAAGAACTCTTGACTGTGAATGTTGCAATTGACCGCCTTGATTAGCATTGAATGGCGTTGCAACTTCAAAGCTTGGCTGCTTCCGGCAAACCTCACAATCTCTAAGGAGATGTGGGTGAAACATCAGGACATATAGCCCAGAAAACTCACAGCAACCCAGTGATTCCAGCTGTGAAAGCCTTTGACAACTCATTTATACACAATATTTTTAATAATTTTGTGCATGAAACAAAGTTTGGGTAAATTATTTCGGATCATTCCAGGTTTTGGAATCCCTGTAGGTAAAGCTAAAGGTTTCCCTTGACATTAAGTCTAGTCGTGTCCAACTCTGGGGGATTGTGCTCATCTCAATTTCTAAGCCAAAGAGCTGGCATTGTCCATAGAGACCTTCTAGGTCATGTGGCCAGCATGACTGCATGGAGCGCCGTTACCTTCCCGCAAAAGCGGTACCTATTGATCTACTCACATTTGCATGTTTTCGAACTGCTAGGTTGGCAGAAGCTGGGGCTAACAGTGGGAGCTCACACCTTTCGGTCAGCAAGTTCAGCAGCTCAGCGGTTTAATCTGCTGCACCACCATTTGCATATAAAGAGATATCTTGGAGATGGGACTCTAGACACAACAAAAAATGAATTTATGGTTTAAAGGTCTTTAAAAGTCAATACCAGCACCTTGAATCAGGTTCAGAAAGGAATTGGCAGCCAGTACAGGTGCTGTAGCAGTGTGGTAGTGTGCTCCCGGCTCTGGCAGAAAAGTGAGATAGAAATATGTATTGTTGAAAGCTTTCATGGCCAGAATCACTGGGTTGTTGTATGTTTTCCAGGCTGTATGGCCATGTTCCAGAAGCATTCTCTCCTGATGTTTCGCCTGCATCACAGGACCTCACAACCTCTGAGGATGCCTGGCATATGTGCAGGCAAAATATCAGGAGAGAATGCTTCTGGAACATGGCCATACAGCCCGGAAAACTCAACAACACAGGGATAGAAATTAATGATGATGATGATGATGATGATGATGATAATAATAATAATAATATTTTGTGTGTTTTGTTTCCCAGGGCAGGTCTTCTTCTTGCAATTTGAGGATATCCCCATCCGTTTACAGAAGCTTGGGTGCTTTTGTTACAATGCTGCTTCCTATGGCCCTGAACTAACACTTCCCAACAAGTCAGGAAAAGACGGAGAATTGTTGCACTTCTATTTGAGGGACCGGGGAAGGGTTAAGTGTGAGGATTTAATTTGAAACTAGGGGCGGTTCCGTATTCCCCCTGGTTTTCAAATCCCAGAATTGGGATTATAGAGCCTGCCCAGACATGGAACTAGAAACTGTGAGTCCAGAGCTCCTGGACGGACTGGAAGGACGAGGAAAACCATCCGGTATGGCTCTTTCTGAAACCCCAAGGGAGCATCAGCGATGGCGGGTGCCCCGGCGGGAAATGTCCAGAGGGGTACACCATCACTGGGAAACCCAGTGGCAGGAGTTCCTGGAGACCATGCAGGCCTCTCCCAGGATGCCAGAGAGTCCGGAGTCATCTGAGGCCACCCCCTGGGACGACGCCAAGGGCTTCCTGGCCTCCTTCGAGCAAGTGGCCAAAGCCTGCCAGTGGCCACGGGTGGAGTGGGTGGTCCGGCTCTTGCCCGCGCTCAGCGGGAAAGCGGAGCAAGCCTTTCGGAGCCTGGAAGCCAGGGACAAGAAGGATTACGGGAAAGTGAAGGCAGCTATCTTGAGAGCGGACGCCCTAAGGATGGAGCTGCAGCGCCAACACTTCAGGCAGTTCTGCTGCCAGATGTCTGAAGATCCCCGGCGGATATACAACCAGCTCCAGGAGCTTTGCTGCCGGTGGCTGAAGCCGGAGAGACGCAGCAAGGAGCAGATCCTGGAGCTGCTGATCCTGGAGCAATTCCTGGCCAGCCTCCCACCGGACCTCCAAGTGTGGATCCGAGCCGGAGGGCCAGATACCTGTTCCCAGGCCGTGGCCCTGGCAGAGGACTTCATCATGAGCCAGCAAGAGGAAGAGAGAGAGAGGTGGCAGGTGAGATGTTAATATATGGGTGTAGATTGTGGATAAGGTTTATGCCACCTTCTGGGCTGTGTGTTTATTGGGATGTTGTGTTGTGCTTCCCCTTTATAAAGATAAGTATTAGATTCGAGTAATATATAGACTTAAAAAATTATTTCAACTAGGAATGTTGAAACATCTAGTCTCATCTCAATGGATACTTTTCGTCATTCACATTTATCCCAACTGAATCTGTCCTAAGCAAGTAATGGTTTGTTGTGAGTTTTCCGGGCTGTATGGGGAATTTCAGACAAGAAACAATCAGGGCCACTTCCCAACAAAGGATTCTTCCAGGCAGTAAAAAGCCAGACCTTGAAACTGCTGGCCCATTAAATGCTAATCAAGGTGGTCAATGGAAAGATTCAAACCTACCTCCAACAGACAAGAGTTATTTCTCCCACCCTGGACATTTCACAGATATATAAACCCATTTTCCTAGTTTCCAACAGACCTCACAACCTCTGAGGATGCCTGCCATAGATGCAGGCGAAGCGTCAGGAGAGAATGCTTCTGGAACATGGCCATACAGACTGGAAAACTCACAACAACCCAGTGATTCCGGCCATGAAAGGCTTTGACAAGACAAGTGATGATTGTCTCTTCTCTTTGTTAGGAGCCTGACCTGCCCAAGACTCCTCAGGGTGCAGAAGAAGCTCCTTCAGACCTTGCTCAGAAACGGATCCGTAAGGAAGCCAAGCAGAAGAGTAACGGGGAGAATAGTTTCTTGGGTGAGCTTTCTCTCCCTGAACTGCTAAAGCTGCAGCCTGACTGCTCACTTTCATTATCCATTACAGTTGGCCCTCCACATTTGTCGTGAATAACTTTTCAATAACTTTAAAGCATAGGTTCTTTTTATTGCAATTTCCAGTGTGAGAGGGTACATCAGAACTTTTACAGAATTAATATGCTTTTACACAAAGAATTACATTGGACATACATATAAATTCTATGCAACTACATTGGATTCACAAACACAGTTACATTGGCTAACAAACAAACAAAGCGGAATTGCATTTTCAATCATAATTCACACACAGGTACATGCATTCATCGTCATGCATCCAAATATTACCATATCCTTTCCTCCCTCCTTGGAGAAGCACCTGTTAGGCCAGACCCTGTTTTTCTGCAGCCTGCCAACGCACAGCTCCAAAACTTCCATAATGCCCAAACTTCAAAACACCAAAATGCATCCTCTCCCTAAGTACAATGCCAAGGACTAGATCTCCATTTTCCATACAGTAGAATCTAACTCCCTGCACAAAATCTAAGACTCCAAAACACACTTCTTCCTCTTCCCTTGAGAAAGAAGTCCAGATTGCTCCCTTGCAAATCTGCCATTCTCCAAATACAGTATCGCTCTCCTTCCCGTGGAGCAGAGCATGGCAAGTGAACCAGACTCCTCAGGTCTGTCACACTTTGAGCATCATGATGAGTTCCCCTAGGGGTGAGAAAAGCGGTATACAAATACTGTAAATAAAATAATAAATTATTAGATTGATCGGCACACTGGGTGCAGTTCCTAAATACCTTGGCCTGCACTTAAACACAATTGGCGCTGACAAAATTACCTTCTGCCAGGTGCAAAAGGCCATCTTACTAAGATCTGCATGCATTATTCGCCGCTACATCACACAGTCCTAGACACTTGGGAAGTGTTCGACGTGTGATTCAATATAACATCTAGCAGAGTGATCTTGTCTGCTGTGGACTCATCTTGTGTTTCAAATAGTAATAATAAATAGAGTAAAATAATAAATGCAATAATAATAATAACAGAATAAAATAGTAAATGTTATAATAACAATAAATAGAGTGAAATAATAAATGTAATAATAATAAATTGAGAAAAATAATGAATGTAATAATAATAGAGTAAAATAATAAAGATAATAATAATAAATTGAGAAAAATAATAAATGCAATAATAATAACATAATAATAATAATAACAGAATAAATTAGTAAATGTAATAATAATAATAAATTGAGAAAAATAATAAATGTTATAATAATAGAGTAAAATAATAAATATAATAATAAATAGAGAAAAATTATAAATGCAATAATAATAAATAGAGAAAAATAATAAATGCAATAATAATAATAACAGAATAAAATAGTAACTGTAATAATAACAATAAATAGAGTAAAATAATAAATGTAATAATAATAATAGAGTAAAATAATAAAGGTAATAATAATAGAGTAAAATAATAAATGTAATAATAATAGAGTAAAATAATAAATTTAATAATAAATAGAGAATAATAAATGTAATAAAAACAATAATAACAGAGTAAAATAATAAATAACCTTGACTTGAGTATAAGCCAAGGGGGGCTTTTTCAGCCCCCCAAAAGGTCTGAAAATCTCAGCTTATACTTGTATATATATGGTACTTTTGCTCTGATCCAGCAGGCCTTCTCTTAAGCATTCCAATAAATATTTTCCATATTTGCTTTGTAAAGAAAGTTACTAATTTCAGCAGGTGTAGCATTCCTCTTCCCCCAACCTGTGGTCCAAGCCTTCTTCCATGGGAAACAGCCAAAGCTCTTGTTTGCCCAACTCATGTCACTGCCCTTTGCGACTCTAGGGATGATATCATTGGCCATTTCTCCTACCTTTCCTTTCTGAAATCTCAATTCTGACCTTTACAGGTAATGGACACCAGGTGAACAACAATTCCAATTCATTGCTTCCTC